TTATGGTGATAACGAAGATGATCATGTTGATGCTGATGAGGATGACGACGATGGTGATGATGACGACGACGATGATGATGTTGATGATACTGCTGCTGCGGAGGATGACGTTGATGCCGATGATGATGATACCGATATTGATGCTGACGATGATGACGATGCGAATGATGTTGTTGATGGTGATTGTGATCAGGTGCTGGTGATGATGCTGATGCTGATGCTGATGCTGATGCTGATGATGATGATGCTGACGATGAGGACGAACGTGATCCTTATGTGGTGCATTTTAGGAATGACGATGCGGAAATACGATGGAGGAGGATGAGGATGGCGAGGAGAAGGATGAGGAGGAGGAGGAGCAATATGACGAGGAGGAGGAGGTGGAGGAGGAGGATGAGGAGAATAAGGAGGTGGAGGATGAGTGAGTAGAAGCAGGTCCAGCGGATGATGACGATGATGCTGCCGACGACGACGACGACGATGACGAGGATGATGATGCTAATGATGACGATGATGCTGATGATGATGAAATGATGATATGATGAAGGTGATGCAGATGCTGATTAGGATGATGTCGATGCCGGTATTGATGAGGTGTTTGTCATTGATGGTGATGTTGATGATGCTGCTGCTGATGATGACGATGCGGATGATGATGGTGGTGATGATGATGATGATAAGATTCTTGTTGTTGTTGGCTCTGTTTTGGTTGTTGTTATTTTTGCTGCTGTTGCCTCCGTTGTTGGTGTTTCTGTTGTTGCTGCTGTTGTTGTTGATGCTGGTGTTGTTGCTGCTGCTGTGGTTGTTGTTGTTGTTGTTGCTGCTGCAGCTGCTGCTGTTGTTGTTGTTGTTGTTGTTGTTGTTGTTGTTTTTTGTGATCAGTGATGCTGTTGGTGTTGACGGTGATGATGAGGATGATGATCATCATCATGAGGATGATGATGATCATATTGTTGTTGTTGTTGTTGTTGTTGTTATTGTTGCTGCTTGCTGCTTGCTGCTGCTGTTGTTGTTGTGGTTGTTGTTGTTCTTGTTGTTGTTGTTGTTGTTGTTGTTGTTGTTGTTGTTCTTTTTGTTGTTGTTGCTGTTGCTGTTGCTGCTGCTGCTGTTGTTGTTGTTGCTGCTGTTGTTGTTGTTGTTGTTGGGGTTGGGGTTGGGGTTGGGGTTGGGGTTGGGGTTTGGGTTGGGGTTGGGGTTGGGGTTGTTGTTGTTGTTGTTGTTGTTGTTGTTGTTGTTGTTGTTGTTGAATACTCATTTCTACAGAATAAACATAGGTGCCCTTCGTGGCCCCGTTGCAGCCCTTCGTGGCCCCCCTCGCTGTCCTTCGTGGCCCCCTTGCAGCCCTTCGTGGCCCCCTCGCTGCCCTTCGTGGCCCCGTTGCAGCCCTTCGTGGCCCCGTTGCTGCCCTTCGTGGCCCCATATCTGTATGCCCTTCGTGGCCCCCGCTCGTTCCCGCCCGTCGTGGCCCCATAGGCATGCCCTTCGTGGCCCCGCTGTCGCCCTTTGTGGCCCCCTCGCTGCCCTTCGTGGCCCCGTTGCTGCCCTCAGTGGCCCCGTCTTTGCCCTCCGCGGCCCAGCATATGTATGCCCTTCGTGGCCCCCGCTCGTTCGCGCCCGTCGTGGCCCCATAGGCATGCCCTTCGTGGCCCCGCCTTCGCTCTTCGTGGTCCCCTCGCTGTCCTACGTGGCCCAGTTGCTACCCTCAGTGGCCCCGTGGTTGCCTTCGGTGGCCTCGCATTATCTGCCCTTCGTGGCCCCCGCTCGTTCGCGCTCTTCGTGGCCCCATACGCATTCCCTTCGTGTCCCCGCTGTCGCCCCTCGTGGCCTACTTCGTGACCTTGGTGGCCCCGCTGTCGTTCTCTCTCTCTCTCTCTCTGTCACTCTCGCTTTCGTTCGTTGTCGTCGTCGTCGTCGTCGTCGTCGTCATCGTCGCCGTCGTCGTCGACGTCGTCGTCGACGTCGTCGTCGTCGTGATCGGTCCCCTGTCCGTCCCTCTTGGGGTCGGGTTGCCGCCGATCAGCGCTGCCGCTGGCCAGGCCGACGGTCCGCGGCCGCCCCGCCGCTTGCCAGGGCCCAGCCTGCAGGGAAGAAAGGTTTATCCCCGAAAAGGGGTACGATCGAAGACGAAGAGGGCGGGTATCGAGGGTTTGGGAAATGCGCGTTAACGGACACTCGAGCAGGTAAGAGCGAACAGTCTTGAAATGATAGTTGTTGTTGTTGCTGCTGCTGCCGCTGCTGCTGTTGTTGTGGTTGCGGAATCTTCATTTCCAACTAACCACTGTTATTGATCTCAGGAAACGGTTCCGCGCGCTCGCGCTTTGACGATGGTTGCATTTTTTTTTTTCTCTCTCTCTCTCTCTCTCTCTGAAAACGAGGCTCCCGCTCGAGTGTTGGCTTGAGCCTAAATGTGGGCCCTGAGAGACCCGGCTACAACGACAACGGCTCCCGTTCGATACTTCCTCACAGTTTACCCCGAGACACCCTGGCCAGGGAGAGGCCCCCGAACTCAGGAACGGCGCTCTCGTTCAAGAGTTCATTGCAAGTCAGCCAAGTTGGCGGAGGCCCAGCCACGACGACAAGGGCTCCTGCTCGATATTTCCACACGATTTACTTCAAGAGCCCCTGGCCAAGAAGGCCCCCGAACTCATGAGCGGCGCTGTCGCTCGAGACTTTCTCGTAATTCAGGCAATTTTGGTGGAGGCCCGGACACGGCGACAAGGGTTCCCGTTCGATATTTGTCAATATGTATTCCGAGAGCCCCAGGCCAGAGAGGCCCCCGAACTCAGGAACGGCGCTCTCGCTCGAGACTTCCTCGCACTGCAGACAGTGGCCGACATGGAAGAGATTTCCCCCCAACGGGTGTGCAATCGAAGACGAAATTGGCGGGTATCGAGGGTTGGGGTATACGGAATGCAAGACACGCGTGCCAGTAAGAGCGGTCAGTCTTAAAATGGTTGTTGTTGTTGTCGTTGTTGTTGCTGCTGCTGTTGTTGTTGTTGTTGTTGTTGTTGAACATTATTACTTCTAAAGAATAATTATTGTTGGGGCCCCTGGTGCATGGCCCCCCCGCCGCGCCTAGGCCGCAGCCTCATTTTCATCATTTTCGTGAGGAAGTCTCAGGTAAAACGATGTCATCCAGATCCGGTTGTGTTGTTACGATCGGTTTTCCCTTGCAAGAAATAAGCTAAAGTGGACATTTCTTGTTTTAACATATCCAAACTTCACGAATCCCTTGCAAAAAATAAGGTAAAGTGGACATTCGCGCGCGCAAGACGAAATCCTTCCAAAACCTTAGTTTTCGTAGCGATTTTAACATAAAAACATCAAAAAACCAATGGTTTTTCAAAAAAAAAAAAATTGTCAAAATTTCATCCCGCGCGCTCTTGCGGATTCGTAGGAAACCCAACACTTTTTAAACATTTCTGTCAAACGGGCTTTTGCGAGCAACTTTTTCGAACTTCTGCAACAACGGTTGCGCACCTGCCAGGGCCATCATCCCTGTCAAATAATACCATGCGGGACACATTCGTTTTTTCTTCGCGCGCGCACGCCGTCGTCGTCGGCCGCGGGGCCCTGAATAGTAGCCACGGTCGTCCGCATGCCACGAAGTGAAGTGTCCGAACGTCATAGGGCGGGAAGCTGGGTGTGGGTGGTGGCGAAGAGTCGTTTGGAAATTTGGTAGAGCTTGAACCGGCCCCCCCACAAAGTGGGGGTATTGCCCGCCTCCTATGAAAACCCGGGCACTGGTGAGAACGGTGTGTCCCCACGTGCTAGTAATTGTTGTTGTTGTTGTTGTTGTTGTTGTTGTTGTTGTTGTTGTTGTTGTTGTTGTTGTTGTTGTTGTTGTTGCTGTTGCTGTTGCTGTTGTTGCTGTTGTTGCTGTTATTGTTGAAGAATATTCGTTTTTAGAAAACAATTAGTGTTGATCTCCGGAAACGGTTCCGCGCGCTCTCGCTTCGATACTGGCTACATTTTCTCTGAAAGCGAGGCTCCCGCGCGAGCGTTGGCTTGAGTGTAAATGTGTGTCCTTGGAGGCCCGGGTACAACGACAACGGCTCCCGTTCGATACTTCCTCACGGTTTGCCCCGAGACACCCTTGCCAGAGAGGCCCCCGATCTCAGGAACGGTGCTCTCGCTCGAAAGTTCATTGCAAGTCAGTCAAGTTGGCGGAGGCCCAGCCACGACGACAAGGGCTCCTGCTCGATATTTCCACACGATTTATTTCGAGAGCCCCTAGCCAGGAAGGCCCCCGAATTCATGAACGGCGCTCGCGCTCGAGATACTCTCGTGATTCAGTCAAATTGGTTCGATATTTCCTCAAGATGAATTCCCAGAAGCCCTGGCCAGAGAGGCCCCCGAACTCAAGAATGTCGCTCTCGCTCGAGACTCTCTTGTAATTCAGGCAAGTTGGTGGAGGCCCAGACACGGCGACAGAGGTTCCCGTTTGATATTTTACAATCTGCCTAAGGCCCTTTGCCAGAGAGGCTCCCAAACTCATGAACGGCGCTCTCGCTCGAGAGTTCCGACAAGGAAGATATTTCCCCCCGAAGGTGGGTGCGTTCGAAGACGGAGTGGGCGGGCATCGAGGTTTGGGGTAGACCTAGTGCAAGACACGCGTGCCAGTGAGAGCGACCAGTCTTAAAATGATTGTTGTTGTTGCTGCTGCTGTTGTGGTTGTCGCTGTCGTTGCTGTTGTTTTTGTTTTTGTTTTTGTTTTTGTTGTTTGTTTTTGTTTTGTTGTTGTTGCTGCTGTTGTCGATGATGAGGTTGTCGACGACGACGACCACGATGATGATGGTGATGATGATGGTGATGTTGGTGGTGGTGGTGGAGGTGGCTGTGATTATGATGTTGATATCGGCGATGATGTCGGCGACGACGTGAGCATGAAGACGACGACGACGACCGATGACGGACGACAATCGATGACCGACCAGGACCAGCGAGGGCCCTTCCGTCGGCACGTCCCTCGTCGGTCCGGCGCGCACCCGGCGGGCGAGGCCAAAGGCAGTGGTGTCGACTGCTGGGCCGACTTGTCGAATTGGGAGGAACTTCGCACGCCCCCCCAGGAGGTGGCGAGTGTGGAGGCGGAAGATGCGGAGGAGGAGGAGAGGATGCGGAGGAGAAGGAGGTGAGGGGAGGAGGCATCAGGAGAAGGAGGATGACGATGATGATGATGATGATGATGATGATGATGATGATGATGATGATGGTGATGGTGATGGTGATGGTGATGGTGATGGTGATGGTGATGGTGATGGTGATGGTGATGGTGAGGAGGAGGATTAGGAGGGATCACGATGAGAAGAGGGAGGAAAAACGAGTTGGAGGAGGAGAAGGAAGAGGATGAGGAGGAAGAGGAGGAGGAGGGGGAGGAGGAGGAGGAGGAGGAGGAGGAGGAGGAACATAATGATAATAATGACAATAATTATTATAAAAAGACAGCGCGTCACGCGGTGCGTCCCGTGGCGCGTCCCATGGCACGTCTCTCGGCGCGTTCCCTGGCGCGTCTTGTGGCGCGTTCCTTGGGAGGTAAATTGTCGCGTCCCCTGGCGTGTCCCCTGGCGGGCCTCTGGCACTTCACGTGGCACGTCTCTCATGTAGTGTTTTTTCCAGGCAGGGGCGAAACTGTTCTCTGTGTCAGAAACAGGGCTTGCCGATGTGTGTCAATCGGAGGATCCATTCGCCTCGTGGCGTGAGGCGAAGGTGATCAGGAGAAGACGGGGAGGAGGAGGAGAATGAGGAGGAGGAGGAGGATGAACAGTTCAAACTCAAGACGCATCAACGATGTCGCAATAAACCCTGAATTGATTTCCATTGTGGGAATTGCCCCATTATAAACACTGTTATTCAATCCCCGATCGCGCCGGAATGCCATTCTTGGGACTTCAACGCCGCGAATCAACGTGACTGGTGTGTCCTGGCAATTCCGAGTCGTGCGAGAATACCATCCTTCGGATTTCAGCACCTCTAATCAATTTGAATGTTGCGTGCAGACAATCCTGCACGGTATCAGAACGCCATTTTTTTGACTTGAGCCTTGGGAATACTTCAACACGGTTGTAAACGTTTAAGACGAATGTGCGCGGCGCTAATGCGAGACCACATTTGGAAAGGAGCCGCCCTCCATTTTTGAATTTGCTAAAACCTATTAAGACGCGTGGCGTTACGGCGAGGCATTTTGAAAACCACCCGTCTTCCATCCCAGAAGCTGTTGCACATTTTCAAGACGAATGTGCGCAGCGCGCGTGCGAGAGCCACATTTTGAAAACGACCCGCCCTCCATCCTTGAAACAGCTGCAAGACCTTAGGACGAATGTGCGCAGCGCTAGGGCAAGAGCCTCTTTGTGAAACCCAGTCGCCCTCCATCCTTGAAGTTTGTGCAGATTTCACGCTTCATGATCATAATTGTTGAGGAAGTTTCAGGCGAAACGCCTGGCCCGCCCTACCGACACGCCTGAGGGTGCGACAGGGAGGGGGGACCTGAGAGCCACCGTCCACATGCGCCCCCCCCACCCATTTCGGCACACCCCTCACACGTTTCGTGGCCCCATAGGGAGCCCCACCGAAGGCTCCAGTACCACCGTTCACATGCGTCCGCCGCACCCAGTTCGGCACACCCCTCACACGTTTCGTGGCCCCATTGGGAGCTGCACCGAAGGCCCCAGTGCCACCGGCCACATGCGTCTCCCACACACATTTCGGCACACTCCTCACACGTTTCGTGGCCCCTTACGGAGCTCCAAAGAAGGCCCCAGTGCCACCGTCCACATGCGCCCCCCACGCAGATTGCGGCACTCCCGTCACACGTTTCGTGGCCCCAAATGGAGCTCCACCGAAGACCCCAGTGCCACCGTCCGCATGCGTCCCCCACGCCCATTTCGGCACCCCCCTCACACGTTTCGTGACCCCATAGGGAGCTCCACCGAAGGCTCCAGTGCCACCGCTCGCATGCGTCCCCCACCTATTTCGGCACCCCCGTCACACGTTTTGTGACCCCACAGTGAGCTCCACCGAAGGTCTCAGTGCCACCGTCCACATGCGTCCGCCGCACCCATTTCGGCACACCTCTCACAGGGTTCGTGGCGCCGTAGGCAGCGCCCCCGAAGAAAATATGCACAATTGTAGTACTCACCACTGCATATGGTTGGGTCCTTCGTCAGGCTAATTATACAGAGTATGCGCGGCGCTAAAGCGAGAGCCACATTTTGGAAGCGACCCGCCCTCAATCCGTGAAACTCTTGCAAATGTAACAAACGAGTGTGCGCGTCGCGAACACGAGAGCGACGTTTTGAAAACCACCCGCCCTCAATCCGCGAAACTCTTGCAAGTTTTTGAAACGAATGTGCGCGGCGCTAAGGCGAGAGCCACATTTTGAAAACGACCCGCCCTCAATCCGTGAAACCCTTGCACATGTTTGAAACGAGTGTGCTCGGCGCTAAGGCGAGAGCCACTTTTTGAAAACGACCCGCCCTCCATCTATGAAACTGTTGCCATTATTTAAGCTTCAGGGTCATAAGTGAAGAGGCAGTCTCAGGCGAAATGCCCCGCCCGCCCTGAAAACTGGCCTCGGGGTGTGACAGAGAGAAATTATTTATAAGGACAAGGAATGGAGGAGGAGGAGGATGATGAGGATGATGAGGATGATGATGATGATGAGGAGGAGGAGGAGGAGGAGGAGGAGGAGGGAGCGACGACGACGCCGCCGACGACGATCATCACAGGAGGCCGCGCGCAATCTTGGCATACCCAGTACATCCTTGAATCGCATTTGCCTTGGCTTTTCTTTAGTCGGTAAAATTGCCCCTGTGCGATGTTTGAGGGAGGCCATGCTCGACTAAAGGTCCGTGTCTTCTTCTTTCCCAGAAGTGCGTCCCGTGCGTGGCCGCTCGGTTTCAAGTGCAATAGCGCTATCTGGAGACTCCCGAGGGTCTGTATGCTTTTGCGTCCAAGCCTTTACAGACGCCAGCTCTGGAGTTTTAGATTTCTCCCAACATCGAAGATGGCGTATCCCCCGTGTGGAGCCTTCGACGAATATCAGGTTACGGATGTCTCAGGAGGTCCTGGGAGCGCGGATTCAGTTCAATTTGCCAAGGACCGTTGCCCTGCAAGTGCGGACGCAGTGTAATTATGCAAGGGAACTTGGCGCTGGGAGTGCGGATCCAGTATAATTTATGAGGGATGGTGGCCCTGCGAGCGCGCATCCAGCGTTATCTACGAGGGACCATGGCTCTTGGAATGCGCATCTAGCGTAATTGATACGTGATCGTGGACCTTGGAACGCGGATCCGGTGTAGTTTACCAGGGCTGACAGTTCCAGCGTGACGGTGGGGGTGCTAACATATTGCGGTGTGTGTGTGTACATGCGTGTGCATGTGCATGTGCATGTGCATGTGCATGTGCATGTGCATGTGCATGTGCATGTGCATGTGCATGTGCATGTGCATGTGCATGTGCATGTGCATGTCTGTGTGTGTGTGTGTGCTGCAACGAGCACTGGCGCAAATGGCGCGCTTTTATTGCGCGTTGCGCAGTTGGTGCGCGTGGCACGCCTGGAACACGTCGCACACTCGGCGCATTTGGCGCACGTGGCGCATCTGGCGCACCAAGCGCGCATTGGCACCTGGGGCACGTGGCGCGCCTGATGTGCATGGTGCTCCTGGCACGTGCGCGGCGCCTCGCGAGCGTGCAGGACGTGGCGTCAGTGCTGGCTCCAGCTGGCTGTCGATCGGACGGCGGCTACAGCCAATGCTGAGACCCGTGTGCTGCTTACGTATGTGGTGGGAGGGCGGGAGGGGGTGTCAGCTACAGTTCGTTCAGTCCCCGCTTGGACTTTGACCCTCACCAACCCGCGCCTTGACCATCGCCCTCGCTCTTGCCATCACCCCCTTTGAACTCGCACCCGCGCTCTCATTCTCACCTCGTCCGCCTCATCCGTCCTCCCCCCTCCCCCGTCGCCTGTTCCCACTTCGCCCTCCCTTGTCCTTCTTCACTCCTCCTCCCTGCCTCCTGCGTCTTGTTCCTGCCTGCCCCATTCCCTCGTCCCTACATCCTCAGTCTTCCGTTCTCTCTCCCTCTTTCTTTCTCCCGATGTCTTCGATCTCGCTCCAGTTCCTTAGCATCGGAAGACGGGTAAGGACGATGAAAACGAAAAGATGAGCATTATATGGTGGTGATGGTGATGGTGATGATGATGATCATGATGCTGATCATGACCATAATGATGATGATGATGATGATGATGATGATGCTGATGATGATGATGTTGACGCTGATGCTGTTGATGATGATGATGATGGTGGTGATGATGACGATGATGATGATGACGATGATGATGATGATGATGATGCTGATGATGATGATGATGACGATGATGATGATGATGATGATGATGATGATGATGATGATGAGGAAAGTGATGCTGTTGATGATGCCGACGAGGAGGCGAAGACAGGCGTCAAAACATATTCAGAGGAGGATTACAACGAGTGGGGTGGTAATTTAAGCGAAGGGGAATGAATTCGATGTCGGGGAGGAACATTGGCAGGTTGACGATGATCAGGAGGTGGATGACGAGGGGCGATCGTGGAGGGGGACGTGGCGAGGAAAGGGGGGCGGAACGGATGAGGAAGCGTACGACAACGAATTACGCAGAAAACGACGTGAGGAGAATGCGCGGGAGGTTCTTGATGGCGGGGAGGCGGAGCAGCGAGAGCAGGATGACCTTGTGGAACGGGAGACAGCCGGAGGAACCCTGCCGCGCGGCCGCGGTGGCCTGGCGGGGCTCTCCCCCCCCCCGCGGCGCAGCGGATGCGGTGTTCAGTGCTCGCCCCCCGTCCGCGGCGCGGGGCCCTGGCGGTGTGCCAAGCAGGCCTGGTCCTCCGAGAAGAAGCAGTTCTGCTGCGGCGCTCACTTCAAGTGCCCGAGCCCGGTCGACGGCCTCAACGCCACAGGCGCGGCCGCTCGGCGCCGATGCGGCGGCTCTGCGCACGCACCCTTCCCCGTCCCTGTCCCCCTTCGACTATCTCTGTCTCTCTCTCTCCATCTCTCCTTTTCCGTGTCCCCTGACCGTTGTGGATTTTTTCCGAATCATCTTGTGGTGTTGGGTCCTCAATTTGAAGAGACAGCACCCCGCGTCTCCTTCCTCTCCTCTCCTCTCCTCTCCTCTCCTCTCCTCTCCTCCCCCTCCTCCCGCTCCTCCCTCCTCCCCCTCCTCCAACAATCATCATCATCATCGTCATCGTCATCATCGTCATCGTCATCGTCCTAATCATCATCGTCATCATCATCATCATCATCATCATCACCATCATCAAATTCGTCACCGTCATCGTAATCACCATTGTCATCACCATTACGGCCGTAATTATCACCATCATCGTCATCGTTCCCCGCCCGTTTCTGCACGCCCTCACACGGTTAGTGGCCCCATATGGAGCTCCACCGAAGGCCCCAGTGGCAGGGTTCGCCTGCAGTTCCACGTTCGTTTTGGCGCACCCCTCACACGGTTAGTGGTCCCATAGGGAACTCCACCGAAGGCCTCAGTGGCAGGGTTCGCACGCAGTTCCTCTCATGCAGTTCCACCCTCATCTCGGCGCACCCCTTACACGGTTCGTTGCCCCATAGGGAAATACACCGAAGGCCGCAGCGGCAGGGTTCGCATGCAGTTCCGCCCCTATTTCGGTGCTCTTCTCACATAGTTCGTGGCCCCATAGAGAGTTCCACCGAAGGCCACATTGGTAGGGTTCGCATGCAGTTCAATTTGCATCTCGGCGCACCCCTCACACGGTTCGTGGTCCCATAGGGAGCTCCACCGAAGGCCTCAGTGGCAGGGTTTGCATGCAGTTCCACCTTCATTTCGGCGCATCCCTCACACGGTTCGTGGCCCCATATGGAGCTCCATCGAAGACCCCAGAGGCAGGGTTCGCATGCAGTTCCACCGTCATTTCGTCGCACCCCTCACACGGTTCGTGGCCCCATAGGGGGGTCCCATCAAAGGCCCTAGTGGCAGGGTTCGCATGCAGTTCCGCCCCTATTTCGGTGCTCTTCTCACACGGTTTGTAGCCCCATAGGGAGCTCCACCGAAGGCCTCTGTGGCAGGGTTCGCATGCAGTTCTACTTGAATTTCGGCGCACCTCTCACACGGTTCGTGGCCCTATAGGGAGTTCCACCGAGGACGATACTGACAACTGCGGCACCCACAATTGCATATGGTTGGGTCTTTCGCCAGGCTAATTTCCGACAGACCTCAGGCATTTAATATTTTTGGTGCCGGGGTTATTGGCCTCAGCGCTTTCTGCAGCTCTTGTATGGGAACAAAGAGAACAACTCGTCAGTACTAGAATCATGACCAGTTTCGCCGTCTCCTCCCGTGTCGTGTGCTTAGCGGAGGCCACGGCACGAGCGGCTTGCTCTCTCTGACTGCGGCTCCGTGCTCCCGGTCTCGGCCGTCGCCCCCGCCCCCTCTCCGGGGCGCTCACCTGACTGCTGCCGCTTCTGACCTCCCTGCTCCTCGCCCTCCTGCCCTTCTCTGCTCCCTGCTCGTGCCCGCATCGGGGCGCAGGGCGGCTGGCTCTCTCCCTCTCTCGCCCGAACTCTCCCTGGGAGCCGCGCTCCTGCCTCGGCTCGGCGCGCGCTTCTTCCGTCCACCACGGGGGAAGGAGCACGACGGCCACGGCCAGGACGTCGCGGCGTCTTGCCGACGCTGGTCCTGGTCGTGGTCCGTGCTGGCCGTCGCCGGTTCGCGAGGACGATCCACGAATTGACGATTGCCGCGACGGACGATTGCCAAGATCGGCACCGGCGTTTCCGCGGTCAGTATTGGTCAAGGTCCTCGTTTCCTTTCCCTCCGTACCAGTCCTTCCAGCAGATGGGCCGTCCGTGGGAGAGCGGGGTTCTTCTTTTCCCCCTCAGAGCCCAGCTTCTCCGAGAACGTTGCGTTGCAGCTTGGGCGGGGCGGCTGGCTGCTTTCACCTCGGAGTCCACGTTCTCCAGACTTTTTGCTTTCTTTCCAACTCTCATGTGTTGGGTACTCGCTCTGAAGAGACCGCTGCTGCCTCATCTTCTCGTCCCCCCTCCCTCCTCCTCTCCTGCCTCTTACCTCCTGCCTGCCTCCCACCTCATACCTGCCTCCTATCTCTTACCTGCCTCTGACTTCCCTCCTGGCCGCCTCTTTAGCGTCTCTCACTTCGCCTCCCTGGGTGCTGTCACTTTGTTCTGAGCTCCTCTACGGTCCAGAGCAGCGACATCATGCATCCGAACTAGACTTCGCTGTTCCTGGGGGCTGTCAATTGCGCAACCGTCGCCACTGTTGTGAGCTCCTGGAAAGGTCTGGCGGAGAGCGGGCCTACAGCGGATCCAAACGAGGCCTCGCCCTCCCTGGGGGCTGCCGACTGGGCAACTGTCGCCACGGTCGTGAGCTCCTGTAAAGTCTAGCTGCGTCCGGTCCTACGCGATCCCAATCGAGACCTCGCTCTCCCAGGGAGCCTGCCAATTGCGCAGCTGTTGCAACTCTCGTGGGCTCCTGGGAGGTCCCGTGGAGAGCGGTCCTACGCGGGCCCAGACGAGACCTCGCTCTCCCTGGGCTCCTGGGAGGTCCCGAAGTGGGGCCTCGCGCGGACCCAAACGAGACCTCGCCCTTGCTGGTGGCTGCCGGCGCCGCATCCGTTGCCACTCCTGTGAGCTCCTGGGAGTTCTGGCGGAGTGCGGACTCACGCGGGCCCAGGCGAGATCTCGCCGTTCCCCCGGGGGGGGGGGCAACTCCGCAGCTGTCGCCACGTCCAGCGGGGTGGGGCCCTGCGCGGGCCCAAGGTGGACATCGCCCTCCCGGGGGGCGCCTCTCTGCAGCTTCTCCGTAGGAGTGCTTCCCTCGATCGTCTCTCCCTCGAGGACGGCGTCCCGTGCGTGCACGCGTTCTGGAGATCGTTCTGGCGGGCGCGGCAGCAGCGGCTGCTGCCGCGTCCGCCGAGGGAGTCCGCGCGGGCTCCCGCCGCCGCCTTGCGTGCAGCTGGAGTCTGCGGCTGGATCCTCCTTTCCCTCCTGCTTTCCCTCCTCCTTTCCCTGCTCCTCTCCCTCCTCCTCTCCCTCCTCTTTTTGTCCCCCCTCCTTTTTCCTCCTCTTCCTCCTCCTCCCCTCCCCCTCCCTCTCTTTCCCAGTTTTCCTCCCGCCCCTTCCGTTCGCCTCTCCTTGTCCTCCACCCTCTTCACCCTTCCCCTTTCCACCACCATCCCCCCTCCTCAATCCTTCTACTTTCACTGCTCTCCTTTCTCTCCTCCTCCCTTTCAATCTAAGCTTTCCCCCCACCCTCGTCTTACTTGCGTTTTGTTCTGCGTCGTAGGCGTGTTCAGGCTTCGACCTCAGTTTGCCTGCGCCGAGCACGGCGCAGCTTGAGCGTCGCCTTTTCACATGCCAAAATGTCGACCGATCTCATTCCGCATTCCCTGATCCAGTCTGGTCGCTCCGCCTCTCGCGAAGTGACCGACGGGGCAAGCATTGCTGATGACATCTACATATTGAGGTCCAGTTCGACACCCGACTCGGGGAACAGAAACAAGTGGTTCACGCAATGGGAGTTGCTGGCAGGGTGACGTATGATCTCAGATTTAGCGCGAGCGCACTCACAGCTTGATTTGAGTGCTACTCCCCTCTCTTCGCTGACAATGTCCCATGGTGCTCCCGCCTCTCTTGCGTCTTTATCCCCCCACACATGCACACGGGATGCCATCCTTTGATGCCATCATGTGGCTTTGCTTTTTTTCCAATCGGAGCGTCCTTGGTTCTTCAGACATGGTGTTCCCGCTGCACCGTCGGTCGCATTAAAGAACCGATGCCTTGCCGTCGTCGTTCAGAATGGCGCTCTCGCCCCAACTCGGGACACGCTTCTGGATCCGATTCCTTCTTGGTTGCCCCTTTCATCTCCGTCTTCCCCTCGTTCTCTTGCTCCTCCCGCTCCCGTTCCTCCTGCCTCCTCCCGCTCATCCGCCTCTTCCTCTTCACCTGTACGAAGCTACCTTTTCCGATTGCGCAGCGAACGAGGCGTCAAACCTCACGGCTGCCATTTTCAGTGAAGGTCTTCTAGGACACCCCAGTCGGCAGACAGGAAATGATTCAACGCATTGTAAATTGAAGGGAGGGGGTAGGATATCGGAGATGGCGCGCGTGCGCGCGCCAAACTTGCCGTTCTCCCTCCGCCTTTCTCCCACCTTCTCCCAAGTCCCTTCTCCCACCTTCTCCTTGCTTCATTCTCCCACTTTCCACCTCTCGCCTATCACCTCCCCCGGTTTCTCACCTCCCGTCTTCCCCCTCCCACCTTCCAACCTCTCTCCTCCGGTCGCTCTCCTCCCTACCTCCCACCTCCCACCTTCGTGCCTCCCTTCTTCTACCTCCCACTCTCACCCCCCTCTCCTCTCCTCTCCTCTCTGCTCCCTCCCTGCTCCCTCCCTGCCCCCTCCCTCCCCCCCTCTTCCCCGCCCTCTCCTTCCCGCTCTGCCCCCCGAGCCTCTCACCCCCTCCTCCTCCTCGCCCCTCCTGCCCTGCCGCCCTCCCCGGGCGTCGGGCCCCTCCCGAGCCTTCGAGGCGAAGCGTGCCGACGCGGCCGCCCGGCCGCCCGGCCGCCCCTCCTCCTCCTCCTCCTCCTCCTCCTCCTCCTCGATCCTCCTCCTCCTCCTCCTCCTCCTCCTCCTCCTCCTCCTCCTCGATCCTCCTCCTCCTCCTCCTCCTCCTCCTCCTCCTCCTCCTCTTCCTGCCAGCCTTGGGAACGCCGGCGGCTCGTGGCCGACGCGCCGAGGTTGGCGCGCCGGAGTGCTCGAGGCCCTCGAGGCCGCAGTCTTCGAGGCGTGCCCTGACTGTTCGACGGCCTCAGCTCCAGCCATCGTGCCGCCCAGCACCAGAGGCCGGCGGCGCTGCAGGGGCGGCGCGGAAGGCCTCTCTCGGGCCACCACGGCGAGGTTCCCCTGTGCACGCCGGCTTCGAGGCGTGCCCTGTCGTGAACACCACTGGCTGCAAGGATGGCATCTGGATGGACCGCATGTGCGTAAAGCTGGCTTCCCGATATGCCAACCAGTGGCCCTACTTGGGCCGTGTTGGGCCGACCGACATGTCGATCTGGTGAAGGTGTGCTGGGAGATCGGCGCCGAGAGCAGACAACTCCCCGATGGCAACATGAAGGGCTTCCTGAGCCACATGGACGTAGACCTCATGCTCACTGCCCTCGATATGTGCCCCGACCTCCGACACCTTCGACTCCAAGGAGGGCAACATGCAAGTTCCCACGTACGACAAGTTTGCCGCCTGGCAGCACAACGAGCGGACCTACTCAAGCTGCATCGGGGACCTTCAGATCGACGTGACGGTCGTTGACGTTACTAGCGAGCTGGAGAAGGCGACGATCTATGAGACCAGAGCCAATATCAAGCGGCGCACCAAGGGTAAGATTAATGCAATTGCGACGAGGCCCTCGTGTTCACCGACTTCGGGATGTGCTCCTTCTTCGACACGTCCGCCTCCTACGCAGGACAAAGAAGGCGATCGTAGTGTCGACCGTGATCGGATTAGAGACAGTTATATATTGGACTCTTGCGCTGAAGACCGCTGAGATATCCCCTTTCATTGGAAAAACAAAACCCTGATTGAGCCTAAGGACCCCTAAGACTGGAGGCTAGGGAGGCTCAGAGCAGGACGACGGCGGCGACGACGCACTCATTTTGTGGCAACAGCCGTGCTGCTCCTCCGCCTCGCTGGCACGGGGACTCCCCCCGCCGGGCGAAGCCTTCTGTCACGCGAAGTGGGCCTCCGCCGCCGCTGCCGTCATGACAGCGGCCGGCGAGGCCTGCAGGGTGGGAGGGCCCCGAGGGGCCCCAGGGTGGGCCAGCTTGACCCCAAGAAGGCTGTGAGCCACTCCCAGTCGAAGGGGGGAGAAGGGGGGGAAAAGGGAAGCAGAAGCACAGGCAGAGACGAGAGGAAGCAGCCCGCGCCATTCCTGGGAGCGGAGAGATCCATATGTTTTACCAAACATCCTGCATATCCCCTTCAGCAGCATTGGAAAAACAAGAGCCCTGAGCCTAAGGACCCGTAAGACTGGAGGCTAGGGGGGCTCACAGCAGGGCGACGGCGGCGACGACGCACTCATTTTGTGGCAACAGTCGTGCTGCTCCTGCGCCTCGCCAGCGGGGGGACCCCCCCTGCCGGGCGAGGCCTTCTGTCACGCGAAGTGGACTTCCGCCGCCGCTGCCGTCGTGAAAGGGAAGCAGAAACACAGGCAGAGACAAGAGGGAGCAGCCAACGCCAGTCCTGGGAGCGGGGAGATCCAGGCGTTTGCCAAACATCCTAGATATCCCATTAAGTCTTAAGTATCACTGCAAAAACACAAACGCTGAGCCTGAGGACCCGTAAGACTGGAGGCTAGGGGGGCCCAGAGCAGGGCCGTGGCGGCGACGACGCATGTATTTCTGTGGCAACAGCCGTGCTGCTCCTGCGCCACGCCAGCGGGGGGCTCCCCCCGCCGGGCGAGGCCTCCTGTCGCGCGAAGCGGACCTCCGCCGCCGCTGCCGTCGTGACAGCGCCCGGCGAGGCCTACAGGGTGGGAGGGCCCCGAGGGGCCGCGGGGTGGGCCAGCTTGACCCCGAGCAGGCCGTGGGCCACTCCCAGTGGAAGGAGGGGGGGGTGGAAGCAAAAGCGCAGGCAGAGACAAGAGGAAGCAGCCCGCGCCAGTCCTGGGAGCGGGGAGATCCATGCGTTTTGCCAAACATCCTAGATCCCCTTAAGCATCATTGGAAAAACAAAACCCCGAGCCGAAGAACCCGTAAGACTGGAGGCTAGGGAGGTTCAGAGCAGGGCGACGGCGGCGACGACGCATTCAGTTCACGGCAACAGCCGTGCTGCTCCTGCGCCTCGCCAGCGGGGGGCTCTCCTCGCCAGGCGAGGCCTTTTGTCGCGCGAAGCGGACCTCCGCCGCCGTTGCCGTCATGACAGCGGCCGGCGAGGCCTACGGGGTGGGAGGGCCCCGGGGGGCCCCGGGGTGGGCCAGCTTGACCCCAAGAAGGCTGTGAGCCACTTCCAGTGGAAGGGGGGGGAAGGGGGGGGAAGGGAAGCAGAAGCACAGGCAGAGACAAGAGGAAGCAGCCCGCGCCAGTCCTCGGAGCGGGGAGATCCATGCGTCTTACCAAACATCCTAGATATCCCCTTAAGCATCACTGGAAAAAACAAAAACCCTGAGCCTAAGGATCCGTAAGACTGGAGGCTAGGGGGGCTCAGAGCAGGGCGACGGCGGCGACGACGCATTCATTTTGTGGCAACGGCCGTGCTGCTCCTGCGCCTCGCCAGCGGGGGGACCCCCCCCGCCGGGCGAGGCCTTCTGTCGCGCGAAGCGGACCTCCGCCGTCCTCGTTGAAAAGGTCGATCGCCTGCCCAGATCTTCATCTGACGCCAGGCTGGCGAGCATTCAGCCGGCGTTCACCGTGCGAGCCTCTGGCACCTGCCCGCGCCGCCGGCGCGCGCCCCGCGCGCGCGCCAGGCGCGCCGCTCGCGTCGCCGGGGCCCTGCTCACAGGGGCGCCAGGCGTTCTGCAGCCAACCCGCTGCGCCTGGCCAGCGCCGCGGATTGCCTGGGGCGGGGCGACGCCTCTCGCGCCGCCCGCCCCGTGGGGTTGCCGCTCCCCCCGGTGTCGGCAGCCGCGCCTGCCGGCAGACGTCGCCCAGCTGCCCAGCTGGAGCGGCGCGAGGCGTTTGCGCGGCGGCCGCGCAGCCCCATCGCCCAGCGCCAGCGCCGCCGCCGCAGCGCCGCTGCGCTCCACCGCGCGGCAGCAATCCACCCCACCTGCGGGCTCCCCGCCCCCGCGGCCGAAGCTGGGGCAGGGTCCGGCGCCCGACAGAGGCGGTTTTGGGGTATATCGTCGCCTGGCCCTCGGCCGGCGGCGCCGCTGGTCGCGGGGCGGCTGCCCCCGCCGGACTGGAGGGGGCCAGGCCCAATTTCCAGCGCTCCTTGCGCCTGGCTCCTCGAGCCGGAGTCGTGTTATGGAGCGTGAGCGGGAGAACGCGACCCGAGGCTTCGGTGGTGATTCTCCGCATGTTCAACGCATTCACAAGCCAGGAGCAAATGGGCTGAACATTTCTGATCAAATCATGAGCCTGGAGGAGAACGCGTGCAGGGCATTTACATTTACGAGCGAACAGCTGCATTGCCTTTTTCCAACAACACAGAAGCTTATCTGACTACAATGGGTTGAGCAACCAAGATTCGGTATGTCTATAAATCGCATTCGCTGATCAGCAAGAGGCTGCAACTCATATCAACGACAGCGGTCGCCCACCCGTCTTCTCATACCAATCCGATGGGTTTTGATGGGCAGTACTGGATGTAGTTTATGATGTCTTGGTCTCTTCAGAGGACGGATCGATGTATGCAAATAGTGTTCATTTACGCATTGGGCTCAGCGCTTGTTATTCGAGAGGAAAGTGGTATAATCATAAGTAAAGGGGGGCTGTTCCTGCTGTCGCGCGGAGCATACAAATGCCAACGTCAGACTACGGGGAATAAGCATGACGCATCGAGTCGGCACGTATTTGGCGTGTCGAGCGTCTCCTAAGAGTGCCCCCATTTTCCACCCCTCCGCTACAAGCTCGCGCCGATACCGCCGCCTCGGTTGTTCTTCTCGCTGGCTTGGCTCCGTTCCTGCCTCCCCCTCCTTCCTCCTTTCCCTTCTTGCTCCTCGCTTCCGCCCCCCTTTGCTCCGCTCCCGCGAGCCTTGCGCCATTTCGGGGCGGCGGACCAACGACCCCCCCCGGAGGCTGGTTCGCCTCGGGCCGTGGAAGCCAGCCAGCAAACCCGACCCTTTCCCTTCTCCGCCCTGCCTCGCCCCCGCGGCGTAGCAGGACTGCGAAAGCGGGTTCCCCCCCCGCTGCGTCGCCTGCGCGCCCTGGCTGCTTCTGTGGGTGGGGGGTGGTGGGGGTGGGGGGGGGGATCGGAGGCGTCAGCCAATCGCGTGCGTGGCAGGCGGGCCCGCGGACGAGCGGGGCCGTGCTTCCGTGCACTTCGCAAGGGCACCCCGCTTGCTTCCCGGCAGGCCGCTCCCGATGCGCCTTCGCCTTCGCCTTCGCGTTCGCCTTCGCCTTCGCCTTCGCCTCCTCCTCCTCCTCCTCCTCCTCCTCCTCCTCCTCCTCCTCCTCCTCCTCCTCCTCCTCCTCCCCCCCGCCCTTCCTCCCTTCATCCCCCCGTCCCTTCCCTTCCCTCCCTCTTCGGGCTCCCCCTCCCCCGCGGGCGCCCGAGTGCCTCTTTCGAAGCCGTCGGCGCGACGCGGCCGCCGGGCGAGAGGCGAGAGGCCATTCCCGTGGGACCCCGAGCTCGGCGGGTGCCGCGGCTGCTCCGCGGCTTTTCGGGGGCGGGGGAGGGGGGGGGAGGGGGGGGGGGGATGGACATGGAGGGGGGGAGGAGGGAGGTGGGCAGGAAGAGGAGGATGATGATGATGATGATGATGATGATGATGATGATGATGATGATGATGATGATGATGATGATGATGATGAGGAGGAGGAGGAGGAGGAGGAGGAGGAGGAAGAACAATAAGGGGATGGAGGGAAAGGGGGAAGAGGAGGAGGAGGACCTAGTGTTTGAGGTGTGAGTCGGGAGGGGGGAGGGAGGGGGGGGTGGGCGAGGTAGGGGCGGGCGGCGGGAGGGAAGGACGCAGAGGGAGGAGGTGGTGGTAATGGTGGTAGCGGTGATGATGATAATGATGATGTTGCTGGTGGTGGCCGTGCAGGTGATGATGAAGATGAGGGGGATGATGATGGTGTGGTTGATGATGATGCTGATGCTGCTGCTGATGCTGATGATGAAGATGATGATGGTGGTGGTGGTTGTGGTGATGGTGATGATGACGGTGGTGGTGGTGATAATGATGGTGGTGGTGGTGATGGTGATAGTGGTGATGATGATGCTGATGCTGGTGATGCTGGGAATGAGGATGATGGGGATGATGATAGTGGCGGTGGTGATGATTATGATGAGGACGATAATGATAATGCGGTTGAGGATGACGATGATGCTGATGATGATGATGATGATGCTGCCGCCGACGATGCCGACGATGATGGTGATTATGATGATGCTCAGGATGCCGAAGATGATGATAATGAAGATGATGATGATGATGATGATGATGATGATGATGATGATGATGATGATGATGATGATGACGATGGCGATGATGCTGACGATGCTGAATTTGGCGGTGATGATGATGTTGACGATGACGACGAGGATGAAGATGGGGACGCTGATGTTGACCATGGTGATGCTGTTGATGATGATGATGATGATGATGATGATGATGATGGTGATGATGATGATGCGGACGGTGAGGATGATGTTGACGATGGTTGTCGCGATACCGCTGATCATGCCGATCGCGATGAGGATGAGACTCACGATGACGATGACTTCGATTCTGCTGATATTGATGTTGGCGATGCCGAGTTTAATGCTCATGTGGTTCTTGCTGATCATGATGATGCTGATGCTGATGGTCGCGACTGTGATCGTGGTGATATACCTGACAATGGTGATGACGATTCTTCTGCTGATGATGCCGTGGTTGATGATGACGATGCTGATCATGTTGGCGATACTGATGCCACCGACGACGGCGAGCATGATTCGTATGGCTATGATCATGGTTATGGTGATCGTGGTGGTTGTGGTGACGGAGGTGGTGATGATGCTGCTGATGATGGTGATGATAACGACAATGATGATGCTGCTGCTGATGCTGTTTCATGATCGTGATGATGTTGTCGCTGCTGCTGCTGATGATGATGCTCATGCTGATCAAGATAATGCTGATGACCATGATGATGCTGATGATCATGATACTGATGATGCTGATGATGACGACGATGCTGATGACGACGATGCTGATGCTGCTGCTGATGATGATTGACGACGATGGTGTTGATGCTGAGGATGATGCTGATGATGATGCTGATGATTATGATAATGATGATGACGATGATAATGCTGATGATGCTGCTGCTGATGATGAGGATGCCGCTGCTGCTGATGATGCGGATTATGATTCTGATAATGATGATGATGATGCTGATGATGATGATGATGATGAGGATGAGGATGATGATGATGATGATGATGATGATGATGATGATGATGATGATGCTGATGATGGTGATGGTGATGATGATGATGATGATGATGATGGTGGTGGTGATGATGATGATGATGATGATGATGATGATGATGATGATGATGATGATCATGATGATGATGATGATGATGATGATGATGATGATGATGATGATGATGATGATCATGATGACGATTATGCTGATGATGCTGCTGCTGATGATGATGTTTCACGATGATGAAAAGGCCGTAGATGGTGTAGGAGGACGAGGGTGATAATAGTAAGACTGAGGAGGAAGAGGCCGAGGAGAAGAAGGAAGAGCAGGAAGGGGCGGACCAAGGTATGTATCAACGATGCTGCAGTACAATCTCCTGTTCTGAGTCTCCCCCTCATGAATCCCTCTAAAAATCGGTTTTAACCACCAGAGGCGCCCCTTGAAGACGAATTTACTCTCCCTCCATTCTTTTTAAGTATATTCCGTCCTAGTAGTCGTATCAATGCAGTATACATGTTAATCATATTGTTCGTCGGTGATCTTATGATTCTTTATTATTAATATGGTTGTTATTTTCATACCTGACTTCTTACTCTTACCGTTTTTTGTTGCTTTGTCGTCTTTATTCGTATTCTTTCTCCTCCTCCTCCTTCCGTATCCCATCATGGTTAGCTTCATGGATTGGTATGACGGGAGGGAGGGGCGGAGGGAGGTCGAGAGGTAGGTTTTTTGGGGGCCTGCTTCGGGCCGCGGGACCATCAATCATCGATCAGGGATAGAAAGCTGCACAGGATAGAGTTTGGAAGGGGTCTGGCCACTTGTTTTGAACGTAGGGAGGCGTTGGGGGCAGAGAGGACGGGAGGGAGGGAGGGAGGGAGCGGGGGAGCGAACGCGGAAAGGAGGGAGGGGGAGAGGAAGGGACAGATGGAGGGAGGGTGAACGGGAGCAAAGTGGGCCGCCCTCATCCCCGCCTTGACCACCAGGACCATTGCAGAGCCTCGCACCGACAGCTGGTGAGCACCATCACGGCCGCCACCACGACCCCACCACGACGGCCTCTTCGACGCTGCGACTACTGCCACCGAAGCGACCAGTCATACGCCAGCCGCGTCGACCACGACCAGCGACGACGCGACGACCGCCCCCCGTCCCCACCCCTCTCGCTTGCCTCTCTCGCGCCTGCTCTCCTCCTGCCAGGCCGCCCCTGCCTGCTGCCCGTGCCTCCCGCCTGCCTCCTCCCGGTCATCTCCCGCCTCGCAGGGGCGGCGTGGGCCAGGCCTGGGCCAGGCCCGGGCGCGGGAAACGGCCGAGGCCAGTTCACGGGCGACCTGTGCAGGCCAGGCCGGAGGCGGCCTCCGAGCGGGCCGTCGCTCTCGCGGAACTCCTGTTGTCGGTTTGCAGCCGCGGGGTGCTCGTGTCTGTCTGTCCCACTTGCTCTCGCGGCTCGCGTTCCTCTTGCTCCTCTTCCTTCTGCTCTTTCTCCCGCTGTGGCGATCCATGCTCGCTTGGAGTTGGGCTCCAAGAGCATGGCTGGACATGGGTGATAGTTCAGTTTTGGCCTGGAGGGCTCCCCTGGCAGCTCTCCTGACGGCACGCGAGCTCATCTGTTCTGTCCGCTTTGTCCCCTCAGCTTTCCTCCTCCTCCTCCTCCTCCCCCCCAAAACAAATCATGTTGTCAGGTTGCACCCCAGGATTGACCTCTTTACACGCCTGGCCCGGAGGCCACCCGTCCTGAAGCAGGACGGTGCGGGCCGCGGGGGAGCGGAGGGCAGGGGATGAGGCGGGGGAGGGGGACGAGATTTTCGGGGGGAGCCGCCTCCTCTCACCTCCTCTGTTCCCTCCCTACCCCTCCTCCCTTCCGCCCCTCCCCTTCCTCCGCCTCGTCATCCTTTCTCTCCTCCCTTCTCTTCCCCGCGTTTCCTCCTGCTCCTCTTTCCGCCTCCCACGCTTCCCCTCCCCCGCTGCCGCCCTCCTCCGCTCCGCCTCCCCTCTCCTCCCCTTGTTCTCCTTGCCCCCCCGTCCTCTTCTTTCCCCACTCTTTTTTTCTCCTTCCTCCCGTCCTCCTCTTGTATCCACCTTTCTGCTTCCCCTCCTCCTCCTCCTGCTCGGCGCCCGCCAGAGCCAGGCCGGGCCGGCCCTGCCCGCGCGCACCCGAGCAGCCTGGCGGGCCTGTGGGGTCCACGGGGTGGCCCGGGCGAGTGGCTGCGGACGGGGGCGGGTCGGGCCACTGCGTGGCGGGGTGGGGAGTGCCGGCGGGTGGGTGGGGGCGTGGGCGGTGGTGTTGAGTCGGGCCATAGTCGGGGGACTACTTTTCTACAATTTTATTTTTTTTATTTTTTATTTTTTTTATTTTTATCATTTTTGAGATACTTTTTATTTAATCGCTTCGCTCATTCCGCCGGCCCATACAGTCTCATGTCTGCCGTTTGCCCGAGGGCCTGGTGTCAATGCGGCGCTTTGGGGGTTCCTGGGGCCGCTTGGGGGACTCCTGGGGCGCTCGGGGGGGCATTTGGGGGGCCTCCTGGGGCCGCTTGGGGGACTCTTGGGGGCCTCCTGAGGGCCTCGTGGGGGCCTCTTGGGGCCTCATAGGGGCCTCTTGGGGCCTCGTAGGGGCTTCTTAGGGCCGAGGGCTCGAAATGTTGTTTCGTGTTCCCTCTCTGGGGCCCCTTTGGGGGCGTTCTTGGGGCCCTCTTGGGCCGTCTTGGAGACCTCTTGGGCCGTCTTGGAGCCCTCTTGGGCCGTCTTGGGGCTCTCTTGGGGGCCTCTTAAGCCCTCTTGGGGCGATCTTGGAGTCGTCTTGGGCTGTCTTGGGGCTTCGGGAAGCGGAAAAGGGGGAAAAGCCAAAATATGTCCAAAACCTAAGGAAAAGCAATGAATTTTGCCTCTTGGGGCCCTCTTGGGAGTACGCTTGGAGACCTCTTGGAGCGTCTGGGGGCCATCTTGGGCGTCTTGGAGCGATCTTGTGGCATCTCGGACGCCTCGTGTACCATCTTGGGGACCTCTTGCGGGCCTCTTGGTTTTGTTTGGGTCCTCGGGGACGTTTTCGGAGCCCTGTTGGTGCGCTCGTGGAGCGCTCGGGGGGACCCGGCCGGGACCCGGCCGGGGACCGGCCGGGACCTGGTCGGGGTACTTTTCGTCTGGGGACCCCCAGGGGCCGCCCCGCGCGCGCGAACTAGAGAATTGTTAACCAGTTACCGGAGATCTTAGCACGCCTCTGGCCCGTTGGGCCGGCGAATTTTCATCCAAATTCTGCCTGTAGGGGGACAGGCCGGACCTAAGGGTAGTGGGCAGCGGATGGGCATGGACGGCTGTGGGGAGGCTGAGTCGGAGGAGGCAGGTCGGGGGGGGGGCAGGGGGGGAGAAGAGGTGAGCGGAGCCAGATGGGAGCAGGGAGGAGAGTGGGGGAGGAGGAGGAGGAGAGATGGATGCATGAGCGGTGATGATGATGATGCTGCTGCTGATGATGAGCGATGATGATGAGGAAAATGATGATGATGCCCATGATGATGAGCAGTGATTATGAGCAGTGATGATGATGAGCGGTGATGATGAGCCATGATTGCGATGATGCGGCTGATGATGATGGTGTTGTGAATGATGACGGTGATGCTGATGATAATGGTGTTGATGATGATGGCAATGATGATGGTGGTGACGATGATGATGATGATGATGATGATGATGATGATGATGATGATTCTGATGAATCTTATCATGATGATGCTGCTGATGCTGCTGATGATGAAGCTGATGATGCTGATGCTGATGCAAATGCTGATGCTGATGCTGATGCTGTGGATGAATATGCTGATGATGACGATGTTGATGATAATGCTGATGCGGATTTTGATGCTGATGATGATGGCGATGATTTCGATGAAGATGATGGTGATGATGATGCTGATGATGGTTCTGATGGCGATGATGCTGATGGTGTTTGTGATACTGATGATGATTATGATGATGATTCTGATGCATATTATCAGGATGATCATGATGCTGATGCTGTTGATTGGTGAAGACGATGATGATGCTGATGAGCGATGATGATGCTGATGCTGATACTTTTGATGATTATGCTGAGGAAGATGATGACGATGATGATGATGATGATGATGATGATGATGATGATGATTATGCTGATGCTGATGGTGATGCTGGTGCAGGTGCTGGTGCTGATGATGATGATAATGATGATGATGATGATGCTGCTGATGATGCTGCTGGTGCTGGTGCTGATTCTGATGCTGATGCGGATTCTGAAGATGGTGGTGGTGGTGGTGATGACGATGCCGATTCTGATGATGATGATGATGCTGATGATGATGCTGATGATGATGATGATGATGATGGTGATGATGGTGGTGGTGGTGGTTGTGGTGGTGTTGGCGGTTGTGGTGGTAATGATGATGGCGATCGCACTCATTATTACTAGGATGATAATAGTGGTTGTGGTGATGATGATGATGATGATGATGCTGATGCTGATGCTGAGGCTGGTACTATGCTGATGATGACGGTGATGATGCTGATGATGATGATGATGATGGTGGTTGTGGTGGTACTGGTTATGTTGGTGGTCGTGGTGGTGATGATGGTGATGCTGATGATACTGATGTTGATGATGCTGATGACGATCATGGTGATGATGCTGATGATGATGACGGTGGTGATGGTGATGGTGATGCTCATGATTTTGATGCTGACGATGATGCTGGTGTTTGTGGTGGTCTTGGTGACGATGAGGATGATGGTGAGATTTATGATGATGATGATGATGATGATGATGACGATGGTGATGTGATGATGATGCTGCTGATGACGACGACGTTGAGGACGATGCTGGTGATGATGGTGATGATGATTATGACGAGGAGGGTGATGAGGATGAGGATGAGGATGCAGACGAGGATGAGGATGATGAGGATAATGATGATGCTGATGATGACGCTGCTGCTGCTGATGATGATGATGATGGTGATTATGAGGGTACGGATGAGGAAGACGATGCATATCATGCGTATGATGGTGGTGGTGATGGTAGTGCTGATGATGGGGCTGATGATGATGATGATGAGGCTGATCGGTAATGGCGATGACGGGTGATATTGGTGCTATAACGGAGTGATGGCGGGGTGATAAGGGGTTATGATGGGGCGATGATGGTTAGGATGTCGATCATGATGATAGAGATGATGGTGTTGATGATGATAATGCCAGTGATGACGATGTCGCTGGTGGTGTTTGCGATGACGATGCTGGTGATGATCATGACGATGACGATAACGATGATGACGATGACGATGATGATGACGATGATGATGCTGATGATGATGATTATGGGGAGACGTATGATGTAGTTCAGTTGATGATGATAATGCTCATGCTCATGATCATGCTGATGACGATGATGAACATGATGATGATGATGATGATGATGATGATGATGAGGAAGAGGATGATGATGCTGATGGTGATGGTGGTGATGACGATTCTGATGAGTTTAACGATGACGGTAATGATGCTGATGCTGATATTGCTGATGACGCTGCTGGTGATGATGGTGGTGGTGGTGATGATGATGGTGATGACGATGACGATGACGATGATGATGATGATGATGATGATGATGATGCTGATGATGATGATGATGATGATGATGATGGTGGTGGTGGTGGTAGTGGTGGTGGTAGTGGTGGAGGTTGTGGTGGTGGTGATGCTGATGATGCTGCTGATGAGGGTGATGACGACGACGGTGATGACGATGCTGATGATGATGAGGTTTCTGCTGCTGCCGATGATGATCATGTTGATTCTGCTGAGTTTAACGTTGATGTTGGTGATGGCGATAATCATGCTGATGCTGCTGATAATGATGATGATGAGGAAGAGTACTTTTGATGTTGATGCCGATGACTATGATGATGATGATGATGATGATGATGATGACGATTCTGATTATGATGATGATGATGGTCATGATGATGACGGTGATGATGTTGATGCTGTTGATGATGGTGCTGATGCTGATGCTGCTGTTGATGCTGATTATGATGATGATGAGGATGCGGATGATGATGATGATGATGATGATGATGATGATGATGATGATGATGATGATGATGATGATGATGATGATGATGATGATGATGATGATGATGATGATGATGATGATGATGATGATGATGGTGAGGGTTATTGTAGTGGCCTTCGGCCAGTGCCGCCGATCCGGGGCGCTCCGACTGATGTGATCCTTCTTCGCCCTCGTCCCTCCTCTCTTTTTCCCTCCCCTCCTCTCACTCAGCATTTATCCAGTGGCCGTCGGCCTATCCCGCCACCGTGCGTGGGTGGTGGGTCAGAGGCCTCATGGATGCTGGTTGGGATCTCGTGGTTGGCTGGGACTTCTGGGGGCCTCTTGGGCGCCTCTTGGGGCTTCTTGGGGGCCTCTTGGGCCTCTTGGGGCCACTAGAGGGCCTCTTGGGGGTCTCTTGGGAGCCTCTTGGGGCTTCTTGGGGGCCTCTTCTGCGCCCCTTGGGGCCTCTTGGAGGCCTCCTCGGAGCCTCTTGGTGCGGGAGGGGTGGTACTCGAGTTCGGAACCCCCTCGGAGGCCACGATCCTTGTGAGGGGTGTCAAAAAACGCATCCGCCGGAAACTCGCACCCCCCCCCCCCCACCCCCCCTTCCCCGGCAGAGCCACCCCGGCAACCCCCCCAGAGGCTGAGGCTCAGCCTCGAGGCTGTAGCTGAGACTCCTTGAAACTCACACGCCGGATCGGCGGATATGTGATGGGGGATGGTGATGGTGGTGTTGATGATAATGCTGATGGTCATGATCAGGAGGAGGATGAGGAGCAGGGAGGCAAGGAGGAGGGGAGGGAGAGAGACTGTGTTGCCGCTGATTTTTCTGATGACTTTGATTCTGATGATGGTGGTGGTGATGATGCGGAGGAGGGGGAGTTGCGCAGGTACATCTGCAAGAGCCTCTCGAACGTTTCTGGCACCCCCACGACGGGCAAGAAGAAGGCGGGCCCGCCACGAGCGGTGTGTGTGTGCATGATGATTATGGGGGTGATGATGATGATAATGATGAGGAGGATGAGGCTGAGGATGCGGAGGAGGAGGAGGCGGAGGAGAATGATGATGCGAATGATGAGGATGAAGATGAAGATGATGATGAGGATGAAGATGAGGATGAGGATGAGGATGAGATGATGGTGGTGGTGATGATACTGATGATCATGGTGGTGATGGTGCTGATGATGCTGCTACTGCTGATGATGATGCTGATGATGATGACGATGATGCCGACGGTGACGATGACAATGACTATGTCGATGACGATGCCGATGACGATGATGATCATGATGCTGCTGCTGCTGCTGATGATGATGACGGTGGTGGTGGTGGTGATGATGATGATGGTGATGATGTTGATGATGCTGATGCTGATGATGATGCTGATGATGCTGATGATGATGATGAGTATGAGTATGATGATGATGATGATGATGATGATGATGATGATGATGATGATGATGATGATGATGATGATGCTGCTGCGGATGATGATGATGATGATGATGATGATGATGATGATGATGATGACGATGATGATGATGATGATGATGATGATGACGATGATGATTATGATGGTGGTGATGATGATGATGATGCTGATGATGCTGCTGCTGCTGCTGATGATGATGATGATGATGATGATGACGAGGAGGAGGAGGATGAGGAAGAGGAAGCGAAGGAGAAGGAGGGGGACCTTAGCAGGCGCTGCAGTATACCCTTCCGCTTCATGATTAGATCCTGTTGCTTGCGGTAAGCCCCGCCGCCGTGCCAGACATAATCGATATGCAAGCAGGACGATCCCACCGAGCTCTCACAAGCAGACTCTGTAGAACAATCTCTGGGTCGCGGGGAAAGTAGCGCTACCATGTTGTAGCTGCGCTGTCTCATCAGGGGCTCTTGATGACTCATTATGAGTTTGCTTTGAGCCTCTTCTGGGTCTCTTGGGCTCTCTCTCGGGAGCTGTTTTGGGGCTTCAGGAGGGCCTCTTGGGGGCATGTTCGGGGTCTTGTGTTTGTCTTGGCCGCGATGATTATATCGAGCTCTCCCGCTTAGGCTCGGTAGAACCATCCTTGGGGCCGTGCTGCGACTTTGGGCTGTCTCGGAGGGCTCAGGGCGGTCCCGGGCCGTGTTGGGTCTCCGCTGAGGCTCTTTCGGGGGGGGCCTTCTGGGCCGCCTTGGGGGTTGTCCGAAGCCTTTCCGAGGCCTTTGTTGGTTTGGCAGAAAATCTTTACAACCGAACAGCGTGAGAAACCTACGGCCTTTCATTGTTTTCGCTCCCCCTCAGAGTCTTGCTGGAGAGATCCTTTGGCGAGCTTTGGGGCTGTCACAGGGCCAGTCTGGGGGTATCATGCAGTCGTCCTGGGGCAGTCTCAGAAAGTCTCGGGACCAAGACGAGCGCTGGGGAGCAACACGTGGGGGCACGATTGAATTGGCGCGCGACGAGGGGCGGGTTTGCCTCTCGAGCGCCACATCAATCCGACCATGCAGGGAACAGGCACTCCGACGCGCCTCCATTCCTGCAGAGGGCACGGTGGCGGAGCTCGGTGGAGTCGGTTTTCTCTGCTGCTGCAGAGGCCACCGATTGGGCCTCGGAGGGCCTGGGCCCACCGAGTACCCATCAGGGTGGCGCTGACCCGTTGCTTTGTCCCCGCCTTTTTCGGATCTGGCTGATTCGACCCCTCTCGCGCCGGGCTCCTTGCTCTTTCGGCACCGTCTGATTTTGCCCTTGGACTCCTTTGTCATCAATCTCACATTACCCCTCCGCTCCTGCCTCGCCTTCGCCCTTCTCTCTTGTGCCCCTCTCCCGCCTCAGCTCGTGTGTGCGCGTGCGCGCGCGCGCGTGTGTGTGCGCGTGCGCGCGCGCGTGTGTGCGCGCGCGTGTGTGTGTGTGTGTTGTGTGTGTGTGTGTGTGTGTGTGTGTGTGTGTGTGTGTGCGTGTGTGCGTGTGTGTGTGTGTGTGTGTGTATGTATGTGTGTGTATGTGTGTATGTGTGTGTGTCTCTCTCTCTCTCACCCTCTCTTTGTTTTTATCGGTCATCGCTGGCAGGCGATGCAGTGGTGCTGCGAGCACGAGAAGATAGGGCGCCTGGGTCTTGTCGGAAAAGTGGGCGAGGAAGGGGAGGATGGGGGAGGGGGAATGGGAGGACTAGGGAGGGGGAGGGGGAGGGGGAGGAGGGGGACGGGAGGACGTGTAGGGGAACGTGAGTGGGAGGAGGGGGGGAGAGATGTACGCAGGGAGGGATGGCCAAATCTCGTGCCCCTGACATCTCACATGGACGCTGGAAACGTGGACGGACGCCACCATCTATTTATCACATTATCGACTGACGTTAAATGGTTCCACCCTGGACAGCACTGGCAGTACACTCGTTTGTAATATCGTTGTTGCTGCAGTCGTGGTCGTAGACATCATCCGTATCTCGGTGACGGATGCAGCAATGAGGATGGAGGGATGAAGGTACGGATTGGAGGCGAGCGAGGGTGGCAAGAAGGGGAAGCAGGGAGGAAGGGAAGGGGACGGAGGGTAGTGCGTGGATGGTGTTAAAGGATGAGATGACATCGAGGAGGAGGACCGAGGAACCGAGCGGGCTGATGGCGCTGCCTCCGCACCACGTGGGCCGGCAGCGCTGTGCGCTTCGGCTTCTCCTGCGGCCCTGCGCGCGCTCGTCGGGGGCCTCCCCGAGGGTGCGCGGGCCAGCTCCTCCTCCTCCTCCTCCTCCTCCTCCTCTTTTTCCTCCTCCTCCTCCTCATCTTTCTCCTCCTCCTCCTCCTCCTCCTCTTTCTCCTCCTCCTCCTCCTCCTCCTCCTCCTCCTCATCCTCCTCCTCCTCCCTGGGGAGCAACAGTTGGCTGGCCTCGCCGCGGGAGCGCCTGCCCCCTCGGAGGCCAGGGGCCGGCCCGTCTGCTCTGCCGCCGGGGGCCGCGGTCGCGGCAGGGCTCCGGGCGGTCGTGGGGCTGCCCGCCTACTGGGCTCTGGTTCGCTCTCCTCTCTCCTCGCCTTGGTCTTGCCTTCTCCTCTCTTCGACTCCCCTCTCCTCTCTCCTCCTCTGCCCAGGCTCGGATTCGCTCTCCCCCCTCCCAGCCTCCCACCCAGCTTGCGCCTCCTTCCTCGGTCGCTTCGCTGACGGTGCGTTCTCGTGTGCCGTTCCCGGGCTGCCCAGGCGGTGCCCCGTCTCACATCAGCTTTGGATTTAGCCGTGGAAGCAAAAGGTAAGTTGGTCCAGGTTAGCAAAGGTGGCCCTGGCACATATTTCAAGCCTGTAAGTAATGTCGAAACGTTTTTCATCAGGCCTGACAACAAAGCAACACCAAGCGGTTCTCCATAGTTTTTACCATCAAGCGTTTACCACCGATTCGCATCCCAGGTCGATGTGGGCCGTTGAGGTCCATGGGGTCTGTCCGTCCTTTTTCAACCTGTTCAGGAGGCGTGCCCATGCCAACCCAGCAGCCATGTCTGTCAGTGGCTGAGGCACTTGAGTTGTTGAACCGCTGCTGTGCGCCTCACTTTTGGGGCGGGACGCGATCCAGTTCAAGTGCATGTCCGTCTGCTTGTCGCCACTCAAAGGGCCCGCTTGGAAGACATCCTGGTGTGTTCGATCCGAGGATCGGGGCGAGTCGCTAGATCTCGCCAGAAGAGGCCAGGCCTGAGTAAGAGGGCCCGTCAGTTCGCGTCAGGCTGTGCCTCTCTCTCTCTCTTTCGGCGGGGCCAGCCCGAGCCCTCGCGAGCTCACCAGCACTGCTGGGAAGTGTTGGGCCGTTGTGAGCGGCGAGGACAGCCCCGCCACGGGACTTTCAGGGATTGAAGTGATAGTCTAGGCAGCCAGTGGTTTGAGGCTTCGAATTTCTGCTTCGGCAGAGTTTGTGCACCATGCAGGGATGCCCACGTGGCCACTCATTCAGGATGGCGAGTCTGGTCTTGCTGCCACGATTAGAGTTGCCGGCCCTGCTCGAGCCTGTTCGGATCACCGCCAGGCTTTGCACCTTTGCGCGGCCGCCTTCCTGGGCGCACCTGGACGCGCTCAACTTTGCAGCACCTCGCTGGAGCCTGGGCCGAAACACGCAACTACAAAACCTACGTGGTTTGACTGGGCCGCCTTACTTTTCTCTTCCTCCACGGCCGCCGCTCGCCCTCTCCCTTCTTTTTTGCGCAATTGCGCTTTTCAGTGGCCCTGCTTTGCCCGACCGACTCGCGCGATCGCCGAGTCCGCGACCAAAAGAGTGGCGGGGTGCAGCCAAAGCAGCGTAGGTTCGACGACAAGTTGGTTCCTGATGCAAAGTGCCAGCGGTGCATGAGAGATCTGCGGAAAAAGAGCGCCGATGATGGCAGTGCGTGTTCAATGTACCAGTGGGCCACTCTGTGTGCACTTGCGTCATGGGTCTCTGTCTGTCTGTCTGTCACTTTCTCTCTCTGTCTCTCTCTCTCTCTCTCTCTCCTCTCTCTCACTCTCTCACTGTCTCTCTGAATTCAGCGCCTGCCTCTCTTGTTTTGGTGGGGTCGAGTGCAGGTCCCCAGTGATGGGGTCGAGGTGCCGCCTGTTCCTGGACTGGTGCTCCCTAGGGTATCATGGGCGCGATTCCTCCGTGCCTCTCCCTGGAGGGCTTCGTGACGCGGATGGGACAGGGTGGGGTCGTTCCAATCACCCGCTATTGCGTTGCATGTTTGTTTGTTTGTGTGTGTGTTTCTCGCCCCCGGCTTTCGTCTGCTGCCGTTAGCGCTCTGCCGCGTCGTCACCGCCTGCCTCCACGCCCCGCGCCTGGTAGGCCCCCCTGGTCTCGGCGCTCTCCAGCTTCTGGTGTGCCGCGCCTCGTAGGCCCCTGGGTCTCGGCGCTCTGGCTCTTCCCCTGGACCACGCCTATCGGTTCGCTGGGTCGAGTTTCTGATTCGCTTGTGCTGCTCCCCCACCTGGGCTGCGTCCCCCCCCCAGCTTCAGCTCAGTGCAGCTCAATGCGGGCGCTGACTCCCCCCCTCGGCGCTCCCCCTGCCGCAGTCGGCGAGTCTGAGTGGGCCCGGCTTCCTCTCTTCCTTTTGCGCTTGGGCTCCTCTTCCTCAGTGCCTGGCGGCCGTAATTTGCATACAGCGTGTCCCCTGTTGCCCATCCGCCGGAGCAGTCACCCTCTGCCCAACTGCCGACGCAAAAAGTGTGTGTGTGTGTGTGTGTGTGTGTGTGTTGGAGCAGGCGGGCGAGCTTCTCTCCTGGAGTCATGGTTTGGCGGTCTCTGTTGACGGGAAACGCCCGACGGCGCCCAGGGCTCAGGTTATAGGCCTTGCGTGAGGAAATGGAAAAAAGGTCCCCACCTCCGTTTGCGATTGCAACTACCGTGTGGAAACAAATATTCGGGGCCGTCACCGCACCCATGGGCATGCCAATGCTGGTTTGTTTAGGGGGTTGTGGAACTTCATCGTCGGCAGGGACGATGCTGGTGGAGTGCCCGTCGCCACCTGGTTAACCCGCGAGAGTTGGACGTTTCTGGGTTTGGGGTATACGGTTCTTGACCATGTATGCACGAGTCGAGTTGCGGAAATGTTTGCGGCTGACATAGTTGAAGTGTGTGTGTGTGTGCGTGTATGATAGCAACCCAATTGTGCAGGCGGGCGCTGGGCGTCAGTCCGAAGCGAAATCTGTCATGTTGCGCGTTGCCTCGTGCGCTGTTTTTACAACCGAGGTACCGAGGGATCATTCGCGCGTTGTCGCCGGGAGCCTTGTTCCGAAACTTGTGCGTGCCAGGGAGTAATGAACATCCTTATCCTCGCATCGCAGTTCTCCCGAGCTACAGCTCGTAAAATTTCGAGTTGTCTTGCGTGTGGTCTCCGTGCCCGTGAAAGATCGAAAGGTGTTTGGGAACTGGTGCTACTTGCGCGTTCGCCCCCCGCTCCAAGACCCCCCGTCCCGCTCCCCTGGAAGTCGCCCGTCCTTGAGCCGAGGCCCCTGGATGAGTGGTTTTGGTAGCGTTTGGGCTTGGAGGGTCGGCCCTGGAGAGTTGCTCATCTTGGTTTTCGAAATGCCTGCAGCTGCATACCAGACACGATTTCTGGCACAACCGGTGCTGTACTTTTTGCGAATTGCGCGCGCTCTTGGCCACCCGAGATCCATTGAATTTGCTCGCTGTTTGCATTGCGGCCTTGGTAGGGAGTGGCCCTTCCACATTGCCCCTCAAGCAGTTCCAGGCCCTTCAGAGGGTGAGGAAAGGAACGCCTCCCCATCAGGTTGCCCCTGCTTGAGCCGCTTGGGGCGAGGATGAAAAACCCTGCTAACGTAAAATGTTCTGTCCATCGAACTCCATCCCGAGGTTCAGACTTCAGTTTGAGTCAAAACATCGTCCTTCTCGACACCTCCGTTCCTCCCACGGGGGAGAACACGGCACAGACATAAACTTGCGGCGGGCCGCGCGAACTTCTTGAATCGGCGCTGGCCCCCCCCCCCTGGCGGCACCTCCAGCGCCGCCCCTGGCGCGCTTCGCGCGCCAGCGAAGGGGATCCGGCGCCGACTCAAGAAATCCGTGCTGCATTCCGAAAGTTGTTATGTCTTTGCTGTTTTTGTGATTCAATCTGCTCCTACACGTCGTGCTTTTGCCCTACCTAGGCTCTGCCTAGAAGGGTTCTTACTTTCTTGGCTTAAAGGGGCCGGGCAGTGCAACCCGCCCCGGGCGGTTCCCCCAGTCCCCTGGGAGCCAAGCAAAAGCAACAGCAAAGGTAAAAGCAAACGCGCGGTTCCCCCCGTTGCGCTCCCTGGGTGCCAAGCGAAAGCAAAAGCAAAGGCAAAAGTGAAGGCAAAAGCGAAGGCAAAGCAAAAACATAGCATGGCATAGTATAGCATAGCATAGCATAGCATAGCATAGCATAGCATAGCGCAGCATATCATAGCGCAGCATAGCATAGCGTAGCATAGCATAGCATAGCCTAGCCTAGCCCAGCATAGCATTGCGCAGCATAGCATAGCATAGCATAGCAGAGCAGAGCATAGCATAGCATAGTATAGTGCAGCACAGCATCCACTAATGTTGCTTTCCTAGAGGCTCCAACTCCTAGGTAGGGCCGCACTGGGATAATATCACAATCTGGACCCCCAGAGATCTGGATCTTCTC